CTTTGTTTTTTGTAAAATTTTTAAATCTTCATTTTGAGCTAATTTAAATTTTTTTATCATATCTAGTCCTATAATGAAATCTTCAAAATCCAGTTTGTCTACAATAAAAACATCAACATATTCTTCTATATCAAAAATCTTTACTTTTATTCTTATTAAACCTTTTGTGTATGTCACACCATTGACAGTTCTTAATAATATTCTATTTGTATCCACAGAATCATTCTGTGTTCTAACTAACCTTTTGTTTATCAGAGACACTTGTGAGCCTGAATCATATATTCCATTTATTTGTATTTTGTCTTCTAATAACATATTTATTTTTATCAATGGTGTGATTACTCGTTTTTTGTCTCTTCGCTTAGATTTACTTCTATAACCGAATTACTTCCAATCCTTTTGTTATCTGCCCCTTCTTTTTTAAACCAACAAGACTGTTCTGGGTGGTATCGATTGCCCTTATTTAAATTCTGACAGGTTTTGCATGGTTTTTTTCCTAAACTGTATTTCTTGTTGTCATCTTTTTCTTCCTTTTTTATTTTGAAGTTTTTATTATTTACCAAACTTTCACATTTACTTATTTCATGAAGCAATCTTGTTGAGGTTTCACACTTTTCAGGATCAATTCTGTTTCTAATAAATTCAGGTAAGCCGGCTGCTATAAGTGTGACCAGACTTTTCCCGCCAATATTTTCATCCATATCTAATAATAACTTTTCTTTTCTAATGGCGTATTCCATCAGTGATCCTTCTTTATATTTGTAAAATATGGCATACATTCCCGAACTCCATCCTTTATCGGCAAATGTGTCCAAAAATTTATTTTTCCACTCGGACCATCCAGCCTCGATTTTCAAAGTCTTCAATGTTGCCGAGTGCCAATCTGCACATGTTTTGTCCAAAAATAATCTTAATATTTCTATCTTTGTTGTATCTTCCTCAATCTCAAATCGTTTACATTCATTCTCGAATATTTCTATCCACTGTTTCGCATTTGAGAATTTACATACAAATTTCTCAATCATGAATCTTTCTGATATATTTTTCAAATTTAGTAGACCCTTTTTCTTCTGTGTGGATTCTACAATATCTGTTTGTTTTTTTTCTTCTTTTAAATATAGGTCGTTAAACATTAAATTATTATCTTCATCAAAATAGGCTTGAATCATTTCTTCTGTACATGTCATCCATATTGTTCTTTCTTGACCTCTTTGATTTAAACTTTTTCTCACTCTTTTGTAGGTTTCTGTTTTTGTTAATGCTATATGACGACTCGCGTATTTATCAGTCTCAGACAGTGTATACTTTTTGTCATCTTCTGTTGTAATTGAGGTTATGGCAATTACACTCGTCTTATTGTCAGTTTGTGATGCTTCCAGCTTAAATGCAAACTGCAATTTTTGTGCCATTATAAACAAGTATTGTCGTTTTATAAGACAATAGTCTGTATTTCAATTGCAAGAGGCTAAATAAAACTTCTATTTGTTTCTCTGTAAGTAAAGAATGCAATTTTATTTATCGAGTAGGTTACACACTGGTACAATCCTTACAAGACTAACACAATCTTACCTGTAAGTAAAGAAACGACAATAAAAGTTCATTGTTATCACCTCTCGATGCATATAGCTTAACTAAGTATGAAATTAATTAACAAATAAAATTAAAATACAATTCAACAATCTCAGCATATTTGTCCTTTACATCTTTGACAATGTCAGCTAGCTTGACGTGACACGACGCGGCGCACTCACGAACTAGCAGTGCGCGCGAATATTCAAATTAAAGAGATCATTCTCTTTCATATATACTTCTTTGTTTTCTAATACGAGGTATTAAAAATTCAAGAACTTAATAGCACTTCCGAAATACTCCTTTATTACATGAACGCATACAATCGCATAATTGAAGGAACAAAATAATACTTTCGATAGATACTGAAAAATTATACTTTTTAAATTAGATTCATTATAAAATATTAATTACATATACGTTTGCGTATATACTTGTGTTTAAACCCTACTTTGGTATTTACCATAAAACATTTGTCTATTATAATAAATTAATACCGTTAAAGCATGATCCTTGCGTCTCGGTTTGAACTCCGACTGTAAACCAATTTGAATTCCTATGTACGAAAGTTTGGATAGTGTATGAAACTATCTCAAGGAAATTTATATATATTAGTTGACATGTCAGGCACAGAGTAATGACCTGATATAGAAAATTAAACAATAGAAAAAATGTCGGCTAAATTTAGAGGATTGTATGCGACAATTGTTCTTATGTTGTCTGTAAATCATTTGTATTTTTAGAAATATTGTTGGTTAATAATTCTATTTTTAAGCAAGCTTTCTTAGATCAAAGAGATGTGAATAGTCGTAGCAAACGATAAACTTCAACTATGATACAACAATTATTTCTTTCATTCGTTTTATCTCTCTCGTTAAACAGTTGCATATTTCTTTTGTTAAACTTTTAATTCAGATATGATGGAATTGAAAGAAAGGAATGTTTTTATAAAAAGCTTTTGGCTTAGACTTTAATATATATCTATGCCTGCTTATCTTAGAATATCTAAACAATTTTAACTTGTGTAGAAATGTAGTCATCTAAGACGAATTCAATAGAATTTATTAAACGTGGTAATTATTAATTACCTACATATTTTGTTTATTTTTACATATTTTATTTATTTAAGTCTCGCCTATTATTTGGGTAGGCATAAAAGAAAAGGTACCTACGCTCCTTATACCATACACATAGCTCTCTCATTTCTTCTATTCTCTCGACATTAACATCATTGGTTGCTGGTGGTTTCTGACCTTTTTTTCCCTTTTTTAAAAACACTAAAATGGTATAAGCATCTCTACCAGCTCCACCATCATCCATTTTTAGTTTTTTTTAATGATTAGTTATATTTTTTCGAAAAAAAAACGGTCATCAATAAATTAAAAAAATTAGACTGAAAGAAATGTGGAGTATAGTTATTGTATATTTTCTCTTAAATAGTGTGAAAAAAATTCTGAGATTCGATTTTGTAGTTTTAATGCATATTATTTTATATTAATGGTTATTGTTCTTTAAAAAGGAATAATTCAGTGACTGTTCTATGGGTATTGGCCTCAAATTAGATTATTATGTTTTTTTTATCCTCACACATGTCGTCGATTTTTGTGTCTCAGATATTTTAACGGTTTTTATCCTCACCGTAGGAGAAATTGTGAAGTACATAGAAAGGAAAAAAAATATCTGCAAAGCAGTGTTTTGAATGTACGAAGATTGCTACTGTGAAGATTATTGTTAATATACGTGATAACTAGCTGGTGCCCGCGACTTCGTCAGCGCAGGATTAAAATAATGTTTGTCCAAATGATGTAGCGTGAAAGACATATTTTAACTACTTTAAATGCCAGAAGCGAAATGTCTATATTCATTTAGAAATCAATTTATTACTACATACTGTATTTGAAATAAATTATCAATTTTACACATAAGAAATAGATGTATACTGTGGCGGGCTTTTTTGTAGGACTATTTAAGATAAATATTTCCATCATACATTACATATGTGTAACTCTAGCGGTTTTGGCAGCGCACGCCAGAATAGCTCGCAGATGCTAGATTTTTTCCTAATTACTTGATATTTTGGACAATTCACATAATATCTTTATATAATGTCGCCAATGTGTTATTATAATGTATAATCTATATTATTGTAAAGGTACTTACAAACTTTCGCGTTTATAATATTAGTAGGATATAGAACAAAGAATACAAATTTGGCGTCCCAAATAGTTTTAAATAATCATGAAACTTTAAAATGCCTACACTCGGTTCAGACGTGAAAAGCACTTTGTTATTTAAGACTTCGTTCACATTCAGCTCGAGTCTGAAGCTTATTCTAGGGGCTTTTGTATTACATTAATGTTTAATATAAAATTTAGAGACAGAGATAAGCTATCACTATTGGACTAAGTATAAATAAGTAAAGGACTTAGTTTACACTTTGTATTCGATTCTTAGCTGTGTTATGAAGCAAACGTATTTTTCCAAGTTATCAAAAAAATAGGTGATTGTTATTGCAGCATACAATTAAAAATTTTGTTTCTTTTTATGTTGATTGAAAAACCTCCTCTGGCGTTATTATAAAACGTCAACTAAAGTGTAAGTAAACTAAGTTAATATTCTATATACATGGAAAACCTTTTCCTATAATTGTTAATTTTAGGAAAATCAAGTCTAATGTTTATAATAAGGCTTGCTTAAAATATACGCGTGATTTAAAAATATTCATGATCATTTTATTACGTGATTAAAAAAGTTATTCCGAATTGTGGTGAGTGTTTCAAGAACCACAATCAAAGCAAAAGCCTTTGAATATAATTTATAGTACAAGGCCAAGATTTGATGTTATGGTAACCAATGTAAATGACACCCACAAACTTATTAAAGGTATTGTATTTTTGGTAAACGTCAAATTTTTATAAAGAAAATGTATTCAAAGGAAACATTACATATAAAAATAATCTGCATCTACCTATTTTAAATTAAAGCCTCTTTTAAAACCCGGGAATAGAACCGGCAATTATTCAAAGGAATGCCACAAATTGGTAGATCCTTTTAATGTTTACCTTCAAATGTTTCTACTAAACGTGGTAAGTTAAATAAATGAAACTTGTAAAAATAATACTAATAATAATTCTTTTACATACATTCTGATAGCCATAGGCAGTATTTGAAGTATCTAGGTGATGTTAAAATTCCACATCATTATCCAAGAATGTCGTATACGAAACAATTCCTTTGGCGATGAAAATTGCAAACTTCGACATTGGAAAACGGGAAATCAGTACGCGTCGGACTGTCAAAGAGGAAAGTTGTGTCGGTGGTTACGAATTTTCCCTCCAAAATTTCGCGTAGTTAAAGGACGACAAAAGTTTGTTTCAATAAAATGTGGGGTTTTATTTAATGTCGAATGGATTCTGTATAATTTTAGCATAATGAATGAAAATGAGGATGAGATTGTTCAAGGTAAGATTTTAAATAAGTCCTTGATCAGTCGAAACGATTTAACAATTAGGGCAAATAACGGCCCATTTTTAACTTTTAAAACCAAATTGTATACAATTTGATGTGGTTTTTTGTTAAATTACAATATGGTATTGCGTCACAATCCATCCAGTCCATTTGGATTCTCATTTTATTAACTTTTTGAGACACTGAGAACATTACACATGCAGATAAATATTATTGATTACATAAATTATTATAGAACGAATAAGATAACTTTAAATTTATTTTTAATATAATAGTAATAATTTAAACAATAAAGCTGGGTATCGATTACGCGCTCCTGGCGCGCGCGCCATGAATGACCGCACCGAGAGTGCGTTTCGTGAAACGCGTTCCAAATATTTGAAGTATATCAACTAAGCGCGCCTGGCGCGCGTGGCAACTGTTCCAGTGTTCGACCCTTCATCATGGAAGCCAGTCAGCAGCAGCTTTTGTAATTATTCACAGTACTATAAACAAGAAAAGCCAGAGCCAGTGGTTTGGCTTTTAGATACTCTCAATTTTTCTCTTCTGTACGATGATAGGAGCACAGTAATTTTTTTCTTTAATTCTATTTAGGGACTCCCATTTCACTACTGATTTCTCTCCAAGCATCTTCTCTAAGCGATTTATTATGATACGAAGAACTTTTGCTATTCCACAGTAGTTCTTTTGTACCATACAGTTGTATTAATTTATGGCAACTTTGGTTATCCATAATTAGGAGCGCAACAAACCCAAAAAAATACGATATGTCCGTCCCAAGTGGCGCGCGCGCCACGATTGATGCGTGGTAAAAAACCGACACCCGTCGGAACGGACCGCTCCGCGTTCGGGCGCTCCAACGAACACATTGGCGCGCGTTCCAAAGTGGTATCCATTGCGCGCGGCTGGAGCGCGCGCCAATGTTCGCCCTCTTGGAGCGCGTAGTCGATACGCGGCTTAAGTATATTATGTTGACGAACATAATATCTGCTTTATGTCAGATAAAAACAAAAAAAATATCAAGTTTCGTAATGTCTTCTTTAATTGATTAAAATTCTGTCTTTTCAAGTTAAAGCGCTTTCAAGTATAACCCCAGTATCGCTTATAAACAATTCCGATTAATGAAGAGTATTTTTTAACTACTTGCGATGTTAAACATTCCTTTACCCGAATGCTACAATAATCGTGACATATATAATTATGACTAATAACGTTTCTGAGCAAATGAAGAGATTAGCTATATATTGTTTTATATAGAACAGGGGCAAACGTGCAGGAGGCTCAACTGATACAGCCGGCCATGGACACTCATTACCAGAGGGTTCGCGAGTGCGGCATTTTCATAATTGGTACACTCTTTTCTTGAAGGACCCTAAGTCGAATTGGTTCGGAAATACTTCAATGAAATTTTTTTTAAACTTTATAATACAATGTATACGACGTTTAACCGACCCTCATGTTTTCAAGGTATACTTGAGATCTTTGTTAGTATACTTGCTTTAATTTTACATCCATGGACCTTTTCATAATTACCCACATTATTATCCTTAAGATGGTAATTGTGTAAGAGAGAAGATAAAATTACGGATACTTTTTAGCATTTTCTATTATACAAACTCTTTTCTATACTATACTAATACGTGATAAAGAAGAAAGGTTTGTATTTTTGTACACTTATAAGGTTTGTAGTTTGCCTTTAAAATAATTGATCAAAGTAAATTGTCTATCTAAATTATTATTATTAAGCATCCAGTATAAAAGTTTTACTTATTTAAGTTACATAATAAAACTTAGTCTAATACATCATATGTCCCGTTTTTGGCAATCAGCGTGTCCTGTGACACATAGAGGCCTTCCAGCTGCTTCCATTATTTTCTGATGTCAGCTCTTCTTGTCCAAGTTGTGCCTCCTATTCTCTTTATATCGCCTGCCCATCTCTTGCTCTGTCTTCCTCTTTTCCTTTTTCCATCGCGTGGTGTCCATTCTGTAATTATTTTTGTCCATTTCAACCTGCTATCTCTCGTCATGTGCCCGGTCCAGCACCATTTCAATTTCCTTATTTACTTTATAATGTCTTCTTCTTTGGTCGTTGATTTTATCTCTTCTGCTCTTTTTCGATGTCTCAGTGTTACACCCACCATGCTTCTTTACATTTCTTTTTGGCATGTTCTCAACTTTAGAAGATGTTTCTGAGATAATGCCCAAGTCTGGCAGCCGTATGTGACACATGGTAAGATACATAAGTTGAACACCTTTTTCTTAGCTACAATTGGGAAGTTTGTATAAAAAGTTTCAGTTATCATAACTCAAAATCTCTGAGTACGGGTTAATTGTCCTTATGGAAATTGTATTCGTATTTACCACAAACTCTCAAACAAAATTAGAGAATCATCATTGAATAAATTCAAAACTCTAAAAACGTAAATTAATCAAAATTACGATTTATTAAATGATCCTAATCCTTGGTATTGATTTGCTGCAGTTCAAACTGTTTGTATGACTCAAAACTTGGCGATTACAAAGAGAGGCGGAGAGTTTCTTGTTAGTTCTTCTTGCTCGCTCTACGGACTTGACTTGCGAACTGGTAGTAAATGTAAATTTAGATTAAATTTAATATCTTTTCTGTTGATGTTCATAAGTGTAGTTGGTTACCTATATAAATAAAGTTATTTTGAGTTTGAGTATATAATTGCTTTTAACTGGAAGTTCTACACGATAATTATATACCCACATTATTCATTTTGAAATATATATTTCAAATAATGTCTTAGTGTTCATTCAATTTTAAAAATAAAACGCATTTTTATCCTGTCACAAAGAATAATTAAACATTTAAATATATTATCTGCCTGTGTTCGTTTGCACTGGATTAGGAATAACACTATTCTTAGATGCTGTTTTTACTAACTATACCAGATATACTCGTAGTAGTACAAATAAAAAGAGTTGTCTCTTGAAAATGCTAAACCTAACAGGGTCTTGAATATTGTATTTGGTCTGCGAAATAGCAGCGTTGTTAAAACGAACCGTTTCTTTTTTAGAACACAAATACAAAAACGTTTACAGTACAGTACAAAATGTGTAGAATTGTGAAATGTTTAAGCTATTCACTAGTATTGTAGAAAATTAAGTCAACATAATATTATTTATGAGCCATAATTACTGTATAGGCTAGATTGTAATTCATGTAAAGTACTCTCTTCTTTGAACTTTATTGTAGGAAGAAAAAAAAATTACCGTTGTATCAGAAAAAATATTGACTTTGTGAAAAAATATTGAAAATTTGATTCAGTTTCGGATTTAAATAAGGGCATGTTTCGTATCCACTCTGCCACAATAACCAAACTTTTTAAGTTTGTTTTAGTGTTTTATTTATTATTATTTTTATGTACAGCTTAGACAATTTTGAATAAGTGTTGTTATAACAACGATGACTACCTTATATTTAATACAAATTAACTCCGTATTAATAATAATATAATTCAGTAATATTCCCTCGGACAAGCAAAAAAGTTGGCCCGGCCGCAGAGCAGGCGAAACATAAGAAACGGCTCAAATATCAGTCCAAACTCCAACTAGGATTTTGTTCCCTTTGGCAGTGGGGTTCAAGTGCACAGGCACTTATAAAAGATTTAAGTTGGCGCCTGATAGATGGTACCGGTGAACCCCAGCTGGTTCTTTCCTCGGAACTCGTACACTGCCACAGGGAACAAACTTTTTAAATTTGTTTCAATCTTCTTTTTATTAATATATAATTATTACTATGTAAGTTAAAAAAATTGTAAATACTGTATATTTGATTGTAATGTTTAGGTTTTAATAAATTATTTTATCAATTCAGCAAATGTTAATCATGTCTATTTTTGAAATTAGTGTAGCGTAATGCCTGTAAAAATTTGTGACTCTGCGACCTCCTTTCAACTAAACAAGGAAATAAACTAGAGCCAAGGTATAAGAACTATTAAAATCAATATGTGTTAGTTCATAATCGCATGCCACACGTACTAGCCATTCATACCTTGGTTGTGTGCCAACGTAATTCAATAGCAACTATTTTCACCTTGAGACAATTGCACTGTCAAAGTTACGTGTCAACGGACACACGTGGGGTCGAAACAATAACAAAGACATATTGTTCTACTCATAACTCATAAGGCCGGGTTTTATCACTTCAATATGGCCATTTCTAAAATTCTAAAGTCGTTAAATCCAGATAAAGGACCTGATGGAATTTCGTCACACTTCGCAAAATCGTGTTATGATGTTTTCTCACTGTCGTTAACAATTGCTTACATTCTGCCAGCGTTAAAGGTAACTTTTTAAATTTGTTTTAGTTTTCTTTTTATTAATTTTTTATTATTAATATGTAGGTTAAGAAAATTGTAAATGGTGTATATTTAATTGTTATGTTTAGGTTTTAATTAATTTAAATAATAAGTTTACAATACATCTTTATCATTGGGTTCTTCCCCACGTATGGAAATCTGCACATGTAATACCAGTACATAAATCCGGAGACAAATTTAACGTATACAACTATAGGCCAATTTGAATTTTAAACACCTTGCTAAAGTATTAGAACGCGTCATATAGGTACAATAAAATTAATATTTTTACTAAACATAAAAATGGGTTTTATGAGGTTTAAGTTTCTATTTATTTTTACTTATTGTTATTTTTTTATTTTATTATGTGGTGCTTGTTTAATTTTTTTCCTTGTTAGCTTGCGTATGTTCTGTGTAAGTGTGTAAAATTTGTAATTTCATATTTTCTTATGTAATTTTATGCATACACGTTGTTTTAGAACTTATAAATAAATACATTTCGTAAGTTGTAATTTAAATTCAAAAAAATCACTGCCTAACAATGCTATCAATTGCCGATACATAGCTGATATCATTTTCTTGAATATTGAAAAGTTTTTATGTAAAATATGGTACAACTGCACCATCTTTCTTCCAAATATTGAGTATCAGGGCTATTAGAAAAATAAGGAAAATTAATATATGAAGTTTTTAGGGACGTCATAATCTACATACATAATATAAACTGAATAATATAAAATGTAAACTGGTAACACATTTCTATCATAACTTCCAATTAACGATTTTCTATAAACTAAAACTACAATAAACAATTAACGAAAGTCTATAACTGTTGGGGTAATAAAATAATTCAATCGTGATAATAGACCTCAAAGCAGTAAACGGTGGCAAGGCAATAAACTATATAGCTGGTTTATTGACGAATGCGCCCTTGGGGACAATGTGTTTTTACCGCTCAGTATTTAATATACTTTAGAACTATTATGGGATTTCCTTGGGTTTGGGATTTGTAAGTTGCGGTATTCATTTTCAAGTGTGACCTTATAAAGCTATTGCGTAGATTTTATCGCGGGCTTTGAGCGCGGCGACCGAGTTAAAAAATATGACGTAATATAGGTGCGGCCAATACGTGTTAGAGCGGGACAGAACGCATACTGCGTCTCACATCGGTCTGGCGTGATCGGCGACGTAGCGCAGGTGCGTTAGAGTGGGACAGAACGCATACTGCGTATTCACATCTCTCTGACGAGATCGGTGACGTAGCGTAAGCGCGGCCGGTGCATAAGATACAGGTATCACATATTCCACGTCATTGAGTTTGTATCTGTAGGCATCCCTACTCATCAGCAAAGAAGACAGAGGGTGTAGGTCGAGAGAAAAAGCCGGCGTGAAAAACTCTCGGTACTCTTTTAAAATAGCAAATCATCAAAAAAACACTTATTTTAAAACAAAAATCGCAAATATATATATATAGGAATGGAATATTTGTATTTATATACGTTTTCAAAAACTCAAAAACTACCAGACCGTTGTCCGTGAGTAACATACGATATGTTTAATTCCAAAATTAAAAAAAAATATCCGTCTGATGAGTACTGAGAGTGAATCGAAGCTTTTTTAAAGCAGATATATAGATGTCGTAATATATCGTCACTCCATCGATATTTACAGCGTCATTAGTGGGCTTAGTGGGCGTCATGTGGGTAATGTGTGAGTAAAAAAGACACGAATAATTATAGTACAGTATTTAATTTTGTTTGATTTCTTTTAACATTACACATTACACTTTTAGCTTCAATTGTAACGAGCAGCGGGTTCAAGGCACCGATCTCACTTTTAATCACAATCTACTCAACTACAAATCACATAAACCAAACTCGGTCCAATGTCCCATCACCACAATGTTCCACTGAATACTCAATTTGAACGACCTTGCTTTCCCTGAATGCACTGTCCAAAGTCAAGATGGCGCCTCGACCTCATTCGAGGCATTTCCTCGGCTCTGATGGGTCGTAACAATATTAGTACTTTTATTTTGTATTATTAGCCTAGGCTGCGAGTGCGACTCTCATCCCTGAGGTCGTAGGTTCGATCCCCGGCTGTGCACCAATGGAATTTCTATGTGCGCATTTAACATTCGCTCGAACGGTGAAGGAAAAACATCGTGAGGAAACCGACATGTCCTAGACCCAAAAAGTCGACGGCGTGCGTCAGGCACTGAAGGGTGATCACCTACTTGCCTATTACATTGAAAACTGATCATGAAACAGATTCAAGATCTGAGGCCCAGATCTAAAGAGGTTGTAGCGCCACTGATTTATTTTATTAATGATTCTAAATTGTGAAGCAATCAAATAATAATATAACAAATCGAATCAAATAAAATTATGATTCTTAAAAGTAATTAATCTCAATTATTAACCAAAGTTACAATAATATCAACGGTCAATTGACTCGAACATTTCCTGATAATCCGAGCATTTACCGACGTATATATTATATATTTAAGTTTTTCTAATGATCATAATATACCTTATTTTAGTTGTCAAGTGTTTTATTTCTTTAGATTTCTTTTCGAACTTTTGGCTAAAACGTAATATTTATGTGAATTTAATCTTACCTTTAAGATGAGTTTTTGGGCTCGGTGTCTCAATTCCCAAATCAAGTTTCAAATATTTGTTACCCGCAGAAAGTTAGAAATATTTTTTCAAAAAGATTCAAATATTAAGTTTAAGTGTGTATGTAGTCAGCTGCTACTGCTGTCTCGACAGACGTTACGTTAAATATTCAATTTGAATTAAAACAAATAATTATATTTCTCATAATAATTTTTTCGCTATCGCGAAATTATTCGCTATAGTCTATCGCGTTAATGTAATGTCAATAAAATTTTGTAGAAGATTAAAATGTATCTCGTATTATCCATTAATTAAATCAGTCATGCCAATATCAGTAGGGATTTGTACTAATAGCGGCTTGTTCCACTTTCGCACGGATGTTTATTTTTTTAAGATGCTTTGGTAACAAATAAAACCTATGTGAAGCGTCTACACACGGCCCTAAAACAAGGGCAATATCGGGGAAGTGGTGGAGAATGCCAATTCGAACTACGAGCCGATTTCATCCCCACCACCATTGTCCAGATATAACCACTGATTTTAGGGCTATGTGTAGACGCTTTTAGGGATAATGTGGTAGAGTTGAAACTATTTTATAAAAGGTCTAGTAAGTAGTTTTCGAGTCGTTGAAAGCATACAAAAATATGATCCTCTTTTATAAGCTGAAAAATGTCAAGTGATGCGTAGGAGTGCGGGATACTGGACTGAACTGGTTATCAGGCTAAAAAAGTGCGGCGCGCGGTGTGGTCCCACACTATCAAAATCAGCTTAGGGTAAAATACCGCCTTCACCGGGGAAGGCGTGGACCTTTACTTCGTACTTCGCTCACTGCATTGATCTTCCGTCCTGCCCTTCAGGCGATTGACCACCCCACGACGGCCCAAACCGAGGTCCGAGTCTGGCAGGAGACGTCCTTGCGCTAGTTGCGGGAAAACGCCTACATTAAATAAAATGGTCCCACACTTCTTCGTCTCTCTCACCCGATATAACCGTTACTTATAATTATTATTGTTCGATTAGTGGTTATCCTTAGTTTATAAATTATTAGATATGTATAGTGGTTAATTTTATGTAATCTGTTTTTTTTATTTTTTAGTTATTTCTTTGTTAATTGCCAACTATATTATCATAGATTACAAGGTTTTAAGGAAATGCGAAGGAACTCATTTAATTTTGATTGATTATTTTTTTGTATGGCTTATAATTTTTATAATTGATATAAATGTTTATTATCTACTAACTAAACAAGACAACGGTGATTATCTTCTAATAAATAAGAAAGCTATTAAATTTCACAAATTCTGTGTAAATGAAAAGTCTATAATTATAATAAATGTTGTTTTGGGTCGTAAAATAAAATTGATGGTGTAGTAGACATTTTTGTGGAAACAAAAGCAAGAATGTAATATTGCGCATATTTAATGCCATATTCCTGCCTTTGGGATTGAATAAGACCGTTTTCTCGGTATTTACATACTGGCTGTCTCATATAATATGATTACAGGTTCCCTTTGTGTTACGTTAATAATCAGATAATTTGAATTTCTAGTGGTAAAGGAATTTTAAGTTGAAATTTCAAGTGCTTATAGAATCTATATTATCGCGTTTGTAGAAAATATATATACAATACGTACTGTGGACTATCATATGCAATGAAAATATTGTTTTTTTTTAGTCGGCCACATAATTATAAATTAGTTTTAAATGATTATATAACAATACTACGTAACTGCCCCCGCGAATTCCGTTTCTCCTTAATGTGATTTGACATACCTCTTTAGTACAATACCAACATGGAACATTTTGCTATACTACCCCAGAGACTGTTCGGTTTTCCGGAATGATTTTTTTAAAATTTGTTCAATGAATTTTTCTCTACATATAAACCTCAGAGTTCAAGTCATAAGATTTTAATTAACAAATTAAATATAGGTGTTGATCGTAGAGGGGTGAAAATTAAGGGTTGTTTGTATTTTTGTATACTGTATCATAAAATAATAAAAACAAAAAGTTTTGTCTAAAAATAAAAATTTAGGGGTGGGACCACCCTTAACATTTAGGGGGATGAAAAATAAGTGTTGTCCGATTCTTAATCTTACTGAATATGCATAACAAAATTCATAAGAATCGGTCGAGCCGTTTCGGAGGAGTATGGAAACGAACATTGTGAGACGAGAATTTTATTTAATGCAATATCATTGAAATTTTATATATATATATAGAGATAACTAATATTTGTATCGTTATGTAAGCGAGATTAAATATCAATAGTTGTTAATGTATAACTTTTTGGTTTATCTTATAAAATCTAACATATACAGCAAATACAGTACATAAAAAGAACTTCTAAAACCCGTCTAACGCGAAACCCGAAACGCGGAATTATATTATTTATTCAGACCGTAAAGTGTATGTGTTTTACTATATGAATAGATATTAGTGTTATTATAATGAATGTTGAAATAAGTTTTTGTTTACAGAGGAAGAGGAGGGTACAGAGTTGGAACTTGAAGCACTGTACAGGCGATATTGTGTCAGATTGAAGCATGCTCTGTTCGTGTCAGCTCTCTGCGTCACATTACTGTGTACTCTAGTGCTATTGTGTGCTGTCTGTGTTCTACATTCACAAGTAAGTAATATTGAATGATGATATAGTTCCGTAAAGAGGCGTTGGGCTCATAATTGAACCCCTGTAAACATTTCTCGTTTGGTTACTGTAATCCAAAATTTTAAGACTTATGCACATTATGGATAAGGCTCTTTAAAACTAATCAAAACTTTCATAGACATAGACATATCATTTATTACAAACAAAAACACACAGAATAACAATAATGAAAGAAAAAATTAAATAAAAAATATAATGAGAGATATATTTAAAAAAATATTTTTTTTCTTTTCCCATTCGGTTCATCTCAAGTGTGTAATGCGTGTGTGCTGTGGCTGTAATTGGCCCTGGCTCAGTATTATGATGAGGAGCAGAATGTAGAGCTGGTCATTCTGCCAGAGACCACATCAGGTAGTTTGCGCCTCAGTCGCAAAAAAAAAGAAAGAAAAAGAATGTAATAATACTTAGTAGAATATAAAAATAATAATATTAGTAAAAGTTAGCAGTGTAAGTAATGAAGTCTTGTGTAATGGTGTGTAGTAAATAAAATGAAATTAAAAGTTAAAAATAAGAACAAAAACAAAACCCGTGAACGTAAGCATTCAAGTAGTAAAGTAATCACAACCTTTACAAAACTCAAATAATAATGATATTGTTTTTTATATTTGGCTTAAATAATTTAATTAACGTGGTGGATCGCGGTAATGCTACGATGTAGCTAGCTTGCTACGAGGGATTGCCATGGGCTACGAATTACAAGACACGGCCTACGGCTAAATATAAATCTAATGATTTTGTATTAATTATATTGTATTGAAATCATAAAGACTTCACGGTTTACAAATTTCACTATTACTAATAAAGTAATATGGAAATTTATATTTTTTGCTCCGTTATTGGCTTTGACAGGTTAAAAGGCTTTCATGTTTAACCCATTTAGTTTAAAGTGCGACGTCATTTTTAAATAGTTTCCTGTAATATTTTAACATATACTTTTTCCACATTGATTGCTTTTATTTTAAACAAAAAAAAAAAAAAATTAACGGAATTTTTACTTGGAGAAATGCGGCGCAACTGCTTAGTGCGGGAGGGTTATGTGGGACTTGCGATTGTGCATACCCACTAAAACCTCAAGGCGCCATTAACAACGACCGACCAGCTGCCCACTGAAGTATTTCTGAGCCAATTCGACTTAGGGTCCGTCAATAAAGCTGTCCGAGCGTACCTATTCTTAAAAGGTCATAAGCGCGCTTGCAAGCCTTCTGGCGATGCGGGTGTCCATGGGCGGCATCACTTAACATCAGATGAGCCTCCTGCCCGTTTGCCTCCTATTACATAAAATACAAAGTACAGCAAACAAATTTAAAATTAAAATTAACTCTTGTTCATATTTATACAAATCTAAAACTTTAGATTTCCGAGGTTGCAGGTGTGTGCAGTGCCATAGGCGATTTGCACTTCTGAGTAAGATTCTCGTTTAACGAAACTAACAAATTATTTTGTATCATGTTAATATGTTGTATAAAAAAATATCATTGGTGCTACAACCTCTTTAGGTCTTGGCCTCAGATTTCTGAATCTGTTTCATGATCATTTTTAAATCTAATAGGCAAGGTGATCAGCATCCAGTGCCTGACGCACGCCGTCGACTTTTTGGGTCTAAGACATGTCGTTTTCCTCACGATGTTTTCCTTCACCGTTCGAGCAAATGTTAAATGCGCACATAGCAAGAAAGTCCATTGGTGCACAGCCGGAGATCAAACCTACGACCTCAGGTATAAGAGTCGCACGCTGAAGCCACTAGGCCAACACTGCTCTCACTACTAATATGTTGTATATTGTCTCAAGTTCATTACTTAGCTTTAGGTATGCAGTAATGTATGTATAGTAAATTGCATTAGAGCCGCACATAAACCACTTAGGGATCAGATTACGTCAGAAATCTCTACAAAGTATCTAACACCTGGAACGTTAAGTACATGTATCTGAAATAAACTTCATGTAAATTCTTGATATAGAATCTTCTTACGTTTACATTATAATAATAATTAAAACTTAAAAGGGTGGATCCTTAACAAAGTATCAACAGTCGCTGTCATTTTGACCACATTTAGACAGATTAGACCTCTAATCAATTCCTTAATATTACCCTCCAAAATGCAGTAATATTAAATACAAGTACAACGCGCAAATACCGGCAAGAAAAAAACTGTGTTCACTAGGCTTAGGCTCGCATGCATAGGCTCACTGTGAGAATAGTTACAAGTACCGTCACGGCACCAGGGAAATCTTCCAGAAATTCTGCGAGACCGTCATTCGATAAAAAGAAGAGGCGGAGAGAGCCAGAGAGGATCCGCGTCACCGTCCTACCTGCGACGTGTTTTGTAATCCTGGGCACGCAGACGTCTTAGTGGTGGAACAGGTGTTTCATGCGTCTAACCTAACCTCCAAGCCAGTAGGCTGATGCGAGTACGGCACTTCCTGTGTCAAGGTCCATCCCATATCATTAATAGCCGTTGGAGGCCGTGACTTCAACTGCTGACGCGTGGCAGGATGCGGACAAGGCTATTACCGTGTCCTGCCTCGGGCGATTGCTGGAAGCAGTTTAGTCAGTATGCACAACGTTCGTAACGTTCCAAAAATCAGGCGATGAACCGATCCTACCTATAGTTTAAAAAAAAAATATTTGCCTTTTTTTATATATTTTCGTTTAAGCTTACAGCGGAAACTTAAACTGGGACAACCTATGCCAATTTGTTTTTTTTTAGTACAAAACGTAGCTAGTAGCTTGATCAAGGCTTTTTCGATGCAATTATTAAAACTATGGTAACAGAAACAAATAACCCTTACGTGTACTCGTGTAGTAAATTTATCACTTTTTCAGAATGTTCCAAGAGATAAGCTTCATCTAATTTTATTAAAGTGTATTACACCTGTAAGGTTGTATCTTAAATTACTTGACCTGAGAATAAGTCCGAATTCCGTTTGAATGTTGAAGCAATTTCAAAGCGATGTTCAAGTGAATAGAGCTTAGTTTCCTTTGTACAATACGATTGCAATGTCGGGATCACAATACAACGGCTCTTCGTGCTTATTACTCCTGGATTGTCACTTGGGACCGACATTTAGAGGGTTTAGTATCAAATTATGTACAGTAATACTACAGTAAGACTGATTTTAACTACAGTTTGAGTTGTGAGAACTTTAGTGAAAATATTTCAGAAAATATATCAGTGGTATTTTGAATAAATCTTTTTTTACAATAAAACATGTCCTAGGGACGCTTGGCACTTACATAACGTGATAATTTCGTGGTATATCATTATATACAGTAACACACAGTACTAGTAAATAGCTTGAACTTAAAAAATTTTAGGTAGTATTGTCTTTGATTAACATAACTTTTATTCATTTAATAAAACACTATTTTGACCGGATTGAAGTTATCGTGCTTTACACCGTGACCACGCACGCTGTAAAGCACGCGAAACGTCGGATAAATTTAAAATTATGTTAAATAGTTGTAAATTTATAATAATACATAACTTCAATCCGGTCAAAAGAGTGTTTTATTAAATTTTTTAGGTAATCTAACATTTTATTTATGTATAATTAAGAACTTTTTTGTATCACTATAAAACGAAGACAATATTAGGGCAGTGCAATGTCGTTGTTAATAAATACAATATTCATTAAATGCGTTAATTTGATAAATATTGCTAAGCCGAATTGGTTTCTTGCGTTTTATTTATTTGGCTAAGTGTTCTCTTAAAAAGAACACACGTGTTAAACTTAATATTATATTTCTATATGGCATAATATAATTGTTATCTTACAATTAATTTCGTCTAGTAATAATTTAATTAAAACGCCCAAAGGAAACGAGAAATGGGCTTATATCTAATGAGTATGGGATTTATTACCAAGAACAAAGGTTCCAACGGACAGCTGCCGGGCATTTAATCGTCAAATAGTCCCCAGCGGATATTACTTTAACTATCCTGTTATGTCTCTTGAGATTTACTTATATAACTCTTCTTAAAGCCACAGCCAGCATTGGAATACTTGGCGTTGACATATCGAACGACGCTCAGTTTCGCGGTCACTTGGAGGGAAAGGCTAAATTAGCCTCCAAAAAGCTTGGTGTGCTCAGCAAGGCGAGGCGGTACTTCACTCCGGGCCACCGCATGCAACTATATAAAGCGCAAATTCGGCCCCACATGGAGTACTGCTCTCACCTCTGGGCGGGGGCTCCCCAGTACCAGCTCCTTCCACTTGACCATATACAACGCAGAGCGGTTCGAATCGTCGACGACCAATCCCTCTCCGAGCGGCTTGATCCTGTGGCGTTGCGTAGAGATGTGGGGTCACTCTGCATCTTCTACCGCATTTACCATGGAGAGTGTTCAGAGGAGTTGTTCGGATTAATACCTGCAGCTGAGTTTCATCATCGGACGTCGAGACAGAATACGAAATTCCACCCGTATCACCTCGACGTCCGCCGTTCCACAACTGAGCGTTTTTCAAGGCAGTTTTTGCCGCGCACCACCACTATGTGGAATCAGCTGCCCACTGAAGTATTTCCGAACCAATTTGACTTAGGGTCCTTTAAGAAAAGAGCGTACCAATTCTTAAAAGGCCGGCAACGCACTCGCGAGCCCTCTGGCATTGAGAGTGTCCATGGGCGGCGGTGTCACTTAACATCAGGTGAGCCTCCTGCCCGTTTGCCCCCCATTCTATAAAAAAATAAAAAAATAAAAAATCTCATTAATTTAAATGACTTTTTGTTTTATCGCAATGAAATATAGAAAATGTATATAAACAGTAAACGGCTCAGAGGAGACTCTTGGGCCGTAGGGTTCAGGATCACTGGCGCTAATTAAAAATTTAAGTTGGCGCCTGGTAGTTAGTACCGGTGACCCCAGAGGTGGTGGTTTCCTCGCTCAACGAATAAGTATCGCAATACAGCTAGGAAATGCAGTTAGCGTTAAAGGTACACAGACACAGGGACGAAACTTTTTATAATTTTTTTATTTATTTATTTTTAATTATTATTATTATTTCTATGTACGTTAACAAAATTGTAAACACTACGCATATATTTCTGTATTTGAAATAAATATTTTTATTGTATGAGAAAAAAGTAATAAGTATAATTTTATAATTTTTAGATAAAATATTTTTGGAATATTTTCGGGTTTTAACTAAATGAAATATTATATATACAATAATATAATTTATTTATTTACACTTCATTATTTAAACATACTTATAAAATAAAGAAAAGGTTACATAAGTTACTAGGCAACGGGCGGAAATATGATCTATATTTTGTTGATTCGGGAAACACTAGTCATAAATTGAGCCAATGACAGTTGGGCCAAAACGGTTGAATAAACTAAACGTTTTACAATAATTGGTCAGGGCGCTCTTCCTATTAAACAATTGATGTATCCAGTGGCATGCCAATCCGTTACGGGCTTGTCCATTTCTGCATCTATATCATAGATAATTGTTTATAGAATAGCCAGTATATGACGTAGTTATATATATAATGTTGGTTTCCTCATGACAAGCAAGTGTTTATTGCTTACTTGACTTAAAGTCCTATGTCCCCTAGATGGGGCAAGTGGCATCCATAGTGAGACTCCATCGCATTCAGCCTTGAGCCGTATTTCACCTTGTTCTAAGTCTTTCCGTCTCCCTTTGCCTCATCTGCAACTGTACTGCGCTATGTTTGCCTGGGACGGCCACGCTTCATTCCTTGCGGGTCGAATCAAGTGCTTGCTTGGGAATATGATTGGGATCCCTTTGGGATATATGGCCTATCCATTTCCATTTGACTCGCTTGATCTGCTGTCTAATCGTGGTTTCTTGGCGGTGCTATTCCCAAAGTTGCTCGATTGAGATGGTTTCGGGCCAGTAGATGCCCAGAATACGGCGAACACAGCGGTTGACGAAGACTTGGAGTCAGTGCGAGATGTCTTTAGTGACCTTCCATGTTTCACACCCATAGAGCAGCACAGATTTGAAGTTGGATCCGAATATTTTAACCAAGTGAAAATTGCGCGTATTAAGAAATCCGCGCTTTTACTGATACGTCGTTGGTTTATGTATCGTAATATCTTGTCGCATAATCTAATTAATATTCTATGTAAATATGATGAAATAGGGACTACTATTAATTTATCTCACATCCTATCCTACATTAAATTACAGCGCTTTGCATAAAATATAAATGAACGTTAGAGTATGCAAATGTTGCAAGCAAAACGCACTATTTTACATATAAAAGGTCTCGTGGGTAACTGTCTGAATTTGCAATTTAATTGTTTCCTTTGTAGCGTTTGGATAAAATAGTTTTTTGTGCCCCAAATTAAGTTTAATAAAACTAGTCGATGGACACTCCTTATTGTAAGTAATGTAATTTAAAAATAATTCAATTGAATAAAAGAAGTATTACGTGTAATTTAAAGAAAGAAAGAAGATTAAAGAAAGAAAGAAATTAATAAATGTTATATTATGCTATTTGAAATCAAATTATTTGATTGTGTCGGAGTTTCTTTGATACTATGACAATAATATTATACAAAATATTTATTTATTTATTTATTTACACTTCGTTGCTAAATAAAAAGAAACAATACATAAAAATTATAAGGGATGCAACGGGCGGCCTTATCGCTAATAAGCGATCTCTTCCAGGCAACCTAAAAAAGAGAATAACTAAAAAAAAAGAAACATGATGCGTGCGAGAAGTGCAGAACCAAATGTTATATAATATATATATATATATGTAATGGAATGATATTTCATTAATTTGAATTTGACGCGTCGGAGTGACACGCGATAAAATGGCGGATGACGTGTAAATTAATTTAGTGGATTATAGTGTAAAAAGATAGATAAGTGGACATTAAATATCGTTTCTTTGTATTTCAGAGAAACAATTTTGTGTTTTCATTTAGAAAAAATCCATAATAATATTCCTTTATATATATAGTACCTTAATCTAAAGTAATACAATAAAAAAAAATATTAGTAACAGACTAAAAACTTAAAAGCTAATCATACAAATACATGAACAGCGAATAGTGATGTAAAAGGAAACATAAGAATTATACAAGTCACGATTGATCAGGTTAGGATAAGGTTAAAAGATGACAGAGCGGTAGCCAATCGTACGGAGTCAGGCAGCGTATTCCACAACTTAATGGCGGAGATCGTAAATGAATTGCCTAAGAAGGATGAAGGATACATCCGCATATATTGTTTTTCAATTCTGTAAATTCATAAAAGGATTTTGTTTAAATTACTTAGAAAAGTTTTAAATTATCTACTAAACATTACAAATAGACTAAAGTGGTATTAATATTTTCCAAAGGCAGAGTACATCTAGTGCTGGCAGCATGTCTTCGATATTTTGCGCTGTGCGAGGGTAATACCAGCTTAGGGTACGGTACGATCAAAAATACATAAAAATCATTTGTTTCAGGAACTGTCAACCCAAGTAACATCAATATCATCGTTATCAGTGATCTCCTTCATACTGTTATCAGTATTGGCGCTCGCGTTATTACCAGCAGCCGCAGAATGGGAGGCTTTCGCGCTGACTGGCTCCGTCTTAGTCACAATAAGCCTCGGTGCTGGTACGCTGATGGCAACTCATCATGCACCATTGCCACTCTTTGCATTAATTTTGGTAAGTTCTTTTTAAATACATATTGTTCACAACCACACAAATTCAGTTCTTGATTTAAACCTGTAAAAAAAATTGAACCAATAATTATGTTTTTTTGAGTTTTGCGTTTTGCTTTTTAAATACATATTTAAATCATTGTTAAGTATAGAGATGTTTATTACTTTTGTATGATGATATGGTATTTACGATTTAGGTTAATAATTAGGTACGTACTTTGTTATCTCGTCGCGTAGACTTGATTATACAACGAGGTGTTTAATTTTTCATAGGACAACTTGAACTTAGATAGCGTCAGGTGAAATTATTAATTCAGTCGTGTTCTTACTCGAATTAACTTGATATTTAATGATATGGTCTAAATATCTAATTTTCATTAAAGAATTTGATATTAAAATCTGACCCAGCAATTTCCGTATTGCCTCAGAATGAATAGAAGTTGAATGAACAAAGTCAATATCTGAATTAATTTCGGTTCCTATTGAAATAAAATGAAAAACTCCAGATGAATTTAAATTCAATTGATGTACACAAATTAAAGTATGGCATAAAATTAAACAAGTATTTTCATAATTCGCAAAAAAAGAACAGAAAACATACAGAATTGATAGCAAATTCATATGATTCTCTCGTATTTCAAACGTATCTCAAATAAGACGTAAATCTATGTTATTTTATGGAAAACCAGGTTTTACAGATCTTATTGCAAGATTTGTGTATAATTTCTTCAAAACCAACAATCAATAACAATTTTGAAATAAAATTTAATTGCTTTTTAAAAACACCTAGTTCCTGGCTTCGCACGGTTAAATCTTTTCAAAAAATATAAATTAATGTGAAATAAATATATCCTGAGTTCATTCTGAGATAATGTAGCAATCTCATGGTGCAAAACTTAATCGGCGCAAGCAGCGGTTTTTGTGTTTATTCTTTACCAAAATACATCCTTTTTATAATGTTAGTATAGATTCAAATATAGATTTCATGTAGTAATGACCAATCGAAAGCTTATATTGTTAATGGTGAACTCTGCCCTGTTTTATTTTTTATATTACCAATCGAGAACTCTGTACTTTATACGAAAAATTTCATCGTACATTGTTGCTTTATTAATTATAAAAAAAAATTTTGTGGAGCTTGTGAGAAGTGAAAAATTAAAATTAGTTTAAATTGTCTTTTGATTCTTTAAACATTTTACCATAATTTATAGTTTTACTAGAACCCTACTTATTAATTAAATTTTAAATTAAATAATTAAAAATAAAAATAGCTTTTATTCGAGTATCTAACTACCTACTATAAGTATAACTTTAAGTTTATGTTATTATATTTAATAGTCCACGACCTCCGACGGAGTGAAGTCCAAATTCTTGCATTTATCTTTCATCTTCACTACTGTTTTCCAATCTATCCCCGCTTTCTATTTTACTTCATCTTCCCAGAATTGTGGTGAGCATCTTCTCTTTTTTCTTCCCAAGTAAGGGTCTTTTTTTGTAAAATGAGATATGAACTTATAATTCAAATGTAATACAATTATATAAACTTCTAGAATAACAATCAAATAATGAAATAAGCCAATTGACTCTGCGGTATAAACTGCATATTTATTAAAACGTTTAAAATAATAATTACTTTTGTCATTAGGGAACCAGGTTTAATAAGAGCATTTTCGTTTACATTTTTAAGGAAATTCGCGTGGGGTTCGACGCTGACTCTGCATAATTAGATAAAATTTGCATACCTTATCGCTATGTTTAAGTGTAAGCTCGCCCAACACTGTTTAGTATAGAAAATTAAGGAAAATGAAAATTTCAAATTCAATGTAGAAACTATCGGCATTTGATGGTAACGTTATAAATAACACGACGGATTAAAGATTAAAGTTCCAGCTTTTTTTAGGTCTAGGCCTCAGATTTCTATATCTATTTCATGATCATTTGTCAATCTAATAGACATTCATAAACATTCATAATAATAAAAAAATTATCATACTAGCCTGTTCTACTGTTACCGTTATACTACCCTAGTCCTACCCTAGAAAACGTGTGGACCCAACCACACGTTTTCCTATACACACCTTTTAAATTCAAAAATATCTTATTGTAAATCTAAACCATTCTCGAATACACTGAGGTGTTTAATTACAAGCCTACATATAAAATATTTATGTACATAAAGATGACACAAGAAGATCTCAGCTACGAATGACCTGTGTAGCTAGTTCTTTATTGTCGACGTTTTTGAAGTGAAACTTCTTTAGGCGCATGAGGCTAAAATTGTTACGGATACGTCGCGAAGATGTGCAGCGTTTTTGTCGAAAATAAGGAGGAGAGCGATTGAGAGACAGTAAGAAGGGCGAATTACCTTATAAAAAAATTATATTTTTAAAATTAAAATTTCGTAAAGAGAATTTATGATATATTATATTTTATGCAAAATAATTTATTGAAATCTCAAATAACGAATTGTAAATTAAAATGCCACGCGTTTTTATGACCGAAGAAATGAATTTATAATTAGTATTAATTTTTGACTTTTAATATTTTAATGACAATTAAATTCATTAAATTCCTGTACATTCCTAACATTTTTCCCTCCCTCTGAGTCGCGATAATTTTTAGATTTTTATAAATATGAACAAGACTTCTTGCCTTGCCAAAGAAGTTTCACTTCGGACATGTGTACTTTGTACGCACGCACTTTTTTCTGTGCATATTATTTGATAACGTACTAAAAAGGAATTTTTTTCATTTTTTAATACAAATAGTAAATGTTAACAATGAATTCGATTAGATTGTGTGCTCTCTAAATTGCAATCACCATGCAATTTGTTGAACGGAATTAAAAGGGAAGAAAAAGCGAATTCAATTCCGCATGTGAGGTCTGGACGTTTGATCGTAATTACTACGATTGTAGGTGTAAGTGAAATGTGCTAACACTTGGCAATATAATAGATTAATTTATCTCTCTTTGTATGTAATATATAGATATCTTGAATTAATAATTGTAAATATCTTTATAATTCGTGAACTGTGAGATTAGCTTTTAGTTTTTAGTTTATTTTATTATGCTTTGAAGGGGAAGGTGATTAAATTTTAATGGCAAGGTGCGTGTTGCGTGGGAGAGTATTTGAGACCATCAATTTTGAAAACAATTAAAACTTATCTGTTCTTATTATTAATACATTATGATATTTATATGACATTTGCTTGCTTATTTTATATGGCTGATTCTGCCGTTTTGTTTTATAATTAATCAATCTGAATGTGCCTACCACTTTTTTTGCAAATGAATAATTTCTTTTTTCACACATAAAATTTGATAGTTCTATAATTGCTCAGTGTTACTTGTAATTTTGTTTTTGTTGATTAAGCACAATATTTCTATATATAGGGTCGCGTTAGCGATAAGGTCACCTGTTGCATCCCTAATAATTTATATTATTTGTTTTTATTTTAATGTAACGAAGTTTAAATGGACTAAACTATGACTATGCCACTCAGTTTTGTTCAAGTCCTTCTCAGACATTTTTGTATCATCATCTTTATAAGGGTACCAGTTGAGCAGTGTTGGCCTAGTGGCTTCAGCGTGCGACTCTCATCCCTGAGGTCGTAGGTTTGATGCCCGGCTGTGTACCAATGGACTTTCTTTCTATGTTCGCATTTAACATTCGCTCGAACGGCGAAGGAAAACATCGTGAGGAAACCGACATGTCTTAGAGCCAAAAAGTCGACGGCGTGTGTCAGGCACAGGAGGCTGATCACCTACTTCCCTATTAGATTTAATTAATTGAATTAAATGATCATGAAAATAGATTCAGAAATCTGAGGCCCAGACCTAAGGAGGTTGTAGCACCACTGATTTTTATTTATTTATAAGGGTACGTTTATGGGTTCATCTATCGAATCCAAAAGTTTGGGGTGAAATAAGTTTTCCAACCCTGAGCCACAGAGGGAATAGAAATTGATTCAATAATTTTTACATATAATATTATATTTAAATACGCGATCTTTATATTTTTCGTTTTTCAGATGGTGCACACAATGATGCCTATAGCTCGTTCAATAGCGCTTGTAATGGCGACAGCACTTACCCTCGCTTATATCGCTTTGGCTGTGGGCTTGGGTCCAAGAGGGCAGGAAGATCAGTTTTATCAACAGGTAAGTCAGTAACAAGCTCATGGGTTCGAATCAAGGCAGTGCACGAAAGGACTATTATGCCCTTAACACTCACTTGTACGGTGAAGGAAAACACCGTGAGGAAACCAGCATATATTAAATCTTAAAAGTTGTTTAGACCATGATCACCTTTTAGTCCTTAATGAAAAAAATCTGGTCAAGAAACAGATACAAACATTTTCTAGATTCGCTTCTACAGAGCGAAGACACTTTTTTTATATAATAGGGGGGCAAACGAGCATGCGGGACGCCCAGAAAGGGCAGTCTTCGCAGCCCATAGATACTTAGTGGGTGCATACCATTTTTAGTGGGTGCGCTGCCGGCCTTTGAGGGGGGAGTACACTCGAATTTCGAATAGTTGGAGGTCGTATCTCTCAGGGAAGACTCCCACCGGGAATCGATTCCACATTTCGCTATTTATTCTGTGAATTTAAATAAGCAAATTTTACATAAATCATAATAGTATCGTCGTACATCAGTAGATAAATGTATATTATGTATATAGTGCATACAAATTGATGTTGAATGTTTCTGTATGTTTTGATTATTTTCTCCATCTTCCAAATTAACTATGAATTAAATACAAGTGAAATATAAATAACGACCATTTATCGTTAACTCCACGTTTAAAGAAATATTCCATGCTCAAAAATAAGGCAATTGTCTAACAAGCGCCTAACAATCTGATAAGTATCACTTCAACAGACAAGATTGCTACTATTGAATTTACAGGCGCAACATTTTTATGGACAATATATCAAAAGCCTTTTAGTTTTATCGGACAAATTCACTTTTATGTTAGAGTTTATACAAAAAAAGGATTTCAGTAACGAGTCAAATTATTAATGTTTTGTTTAGAAATTGTGTGCCAATCCTTGGATGAGGCTTCCAGGCGTCTTATCGAAAATTGGAACATCAAAGTACTCCGCTCAGCATATAACATATTCAGCTTAGTCACTGGGGCCATCCAGTTAGTAGCTCAACTGGTCGAGAATGCTACCTTTACAATAGAGGCACAGAAAACCATACTTCTCCACATAATAGTAACTGTAAAAAAGGATATATGTTTCTTTCTCGAATCTAAGTCCTAAGCCATAATTACGTCTACGATCAGAACAACCAACGTTTTATATTTAAATTAATTTTGAATCTTGTCAGCTAAAGTTTGATTGAAAAGGATATTGAATCGAAAACAAAACCAAATCAATTTTGTTGGTTATGTTCGGGTTAGGCAAATATTTGTGGAGTACCCTAATATCAGCGTTTAGTGGAGAATAAATCAGTGTTATTCCTACAGAGACAAGATAAATAAGTATGTGGCATGTGGTTTCATCCTTGTTATTCGGTCGTAGTTTGATGTTTTTTTTATATAATAGTGGGCAAACGGACGTAGACGATGAATCTTTCACTTGATCGGTCCATCTGGTTGTGAACGGCCACATGATCTTTTGCCTTCTGTGGTACCAAACACGATCAGTTTCTCCAAGTTCTCATCGTCTCCGCGCATTGTATGGCCGAGATAAGATACGAATCGCTGTAGGCATATGGTAGACAGGCGAGTCCGTATGCAGAGTTGGGTCAGGATCGATGTATTGGTGGGCTTCGCAGTCCACAGTAGTCTGAGCATTCACCACCAGCCATCGATCCTTTGCCTTTCTCGAGCCATGATAGTCCACGTTTCTACTCCATACAGGAAGATAGGGAATACTACAGCCCGTATCAGTCTTATTTTAATAACAAAAACTGTCCTAGTCGTTATAATATTAATGTAAATCTTTATATTACAATAATTATTGTTTGGCATCTCTTCTGCATTTTAATAAATAAATAAATTGTTAAAATGACATTCTGTTCTTTCCAGCTGATATGTGAGCTAGCACTCCTTCTATCAGCCAGTGGTATTGGTTTATACTACCGGGCGCTCACAGAGAGGGCTCATAGAAAAACCTTCGCCGGCACCAGAACCTGCCTGGAACAGAGGGTCAAACTCGAGTGCGAGAGGGAGCAGCAGGAAAGTCTTTTGCTGTCTGTAATACCAGCTTATATCGCGGCTGAGGTAAGTCATAGCATAGATCTCCACTTGCTACCGTCATAATATCACAACATCCGGGTAATTTACCATAAGCTACTTACTACTTTTTATGGTATTTAAAAAGTTTTTAAACTATCGAGGTCTTAGTGAAATAAATGACTATAATCGTCAAATGTTTAATTACGGCTACGCAACTATCAAACGATAACTTTAAAAATAAAAAATAAAATAAATCAGTTGTGCTACAACCTCTTTAGGTCTTGGCCTCAGATTTCTGAATCTGTTTCATGATCATTTTTAAATCTAATAGGCAAGTAGGCGAGCAGCCTCCAGTGCCTGACACACGCTGTCGACTTTTTGGGTCTAAGAAATGTCGGTTTCGACAGGGTCTAAGAAAGTTCATTGGTCCACAGCCGGGGATCAAACCTACGACCTCAGGGATGAGAATCGCACGCTAAAGCCACTACGCCAATACTGCCTTAAACGATAACTTTACGTGTTTATTATTCTTGCTTTCAGTAATTTCACTTATTCATAAACCTCACGTACCTACTACTTATGTAATAATTTAAGCATATAATGACGTCAATCATACTTGATAACTTTTTCATTAATTAATTTTTTTAAATGTTAGAGGAAATTGAAAGAATAACTACGTTGAAAAATAATTAAAATAGCCTTTGTGGAATGGTCAAAGTTGCAGTAATTATGCTTTCGTTTATTTGCGGGTCTAGGAAAAACTAACGAGATTCTTTCAAAAGAAAATCTTTTAAAGTAATTTTATAAGAATAGAACAGTTTTAAACCCTGACAACTTAGTCTGTTTCTTAAACGACAAATAATTATTTTGTACTCCATTTTGAAGAAATATATTTTTTTAAATATCGCAATACAGCGAAATGCTGCCAGCCTTTAGGGTACATTGCCACAGGGACCAAACTTTTAAAATTTGTTTTAATTTTCTTTTAATTTTTTTATTATTACTATACAGAAAATTGTAAATATTGTATATTTGATTTCTTACATAATTTTAATATGGAATAAAAAAAATTCCCGCAAGAACGTCAAAATTAAATCAAGAGCTGTTAAAGCATTTCTTCTGTACATAGTTTGGCATAGTTGACAGCGCTCAACTAGAGATTGTGACTTGAGACGGATTAGTATATGGACCTTAGCGTCAAATAGTGTTTTATTCCTCTCATTACTAAAACTTAATTTGCAACGAGATTGGATTCTGTAACTGTTTGAAGCTTAAAGTACATTTTATGAACTAGTCACGTTTTTCCTTGTTTATTTAATATTATTCCAACATTGCGACTTCACTGTAGAATACCAGATTTTTTATCGGTCAGCGGCTTTTCAACAATGCAAAAAATGTATTAATTACATTATCATTACACTAATTGCGTTATACGTTTACTTTATATTTTTTAATAATGATTACATATTTTATTATCACACAGATATACAGTACTTACAATTTTCTTAACTTACATACTTAATAATAATTATTAAAAATGATTGAATTGAAAATCAAAACAAATTTAGACAGTTTGGTCCCTGTGGCAGTGTACCTTTAACGCTGGTAGCGTTTCCTCGCTGTATTGCGATGCTTATTCGTTGAGCGAGGAAAGCACCAGCTGGGGTCTTCGGTACTATTTACCAGGCCCCAACTTAAATCTTTAAGTAGCGCTTGTGCACTTGAACCCCACGGCCCAAGAGTCTCTACTCTAAAGGGAACAAAATCGAAGTTGAAGAAAATACTCTTATATGTGAGATATTTATTATTTTCCACCTGCTCTGCGGCCGCGCCAGCTTTTTTGCTTGATCCCGAGGGAGGTAAGACGGGGCTAACGTGTCCACACTAGTAGCATCCCATACCAAAGCCCGTCCCATTCTCCAAAGGATCAACGACATCCCATCCGGCAATGGCACTGTCAATTATCTTTTTTGTTGATAATTAGTTTCAAACAAAAAAGTTCAAGGTAATTCCAGGCTTCTCAGCGACTCCGCGATATCAAGGCTTTATGTATGTTAATTAGCTACTTACATTCCAAGGTAAAGTAAGATTTGTTTCAGTTCAAAACAACGAAGAAACGTGTACTAGGTTTTGAGGTTAATATTGCAAAAAAACTAAATTTATCATAAAGGCTATAAAATGTTGTGAAAGTTTAAGAAACAAATTGCGAAATCTATTTGCTAATCATATTATTAGACTTAATATAGTTCTAGGTTATTTTTCACAAAGCAAACTTTCGCTCACGTTACACAAATCGTTGACTGAAGAAACACAGTTTATCAGTTCGTCCCACTGAGCTCATTCACTGTTCAAACATTGTCATGATAATTCTTCACTCACGAAATCGCTTTGTGTGTCACTGTGAATAAACCTTTGGGAAAATTGTCTTATCATTTGTAGGTACAATCATGTATGTCCGATTATGATTCATATTTTTCTAATAAACTAATATACCACCACTATGAAAACTAGCTGCCCACTGAAGTATTTTCGAACCAATTTCATTTGGGGCTTTCAAGAAAAGAGCGTAACAATTCTTAAAAGGCCGGCAACTCCTCTAGTATTGAGTGTCCATGGGCGGAGGTATCACTTAACACCAGTTAAGCCTCCTGCCCCTTTGTGCCCTGTTCTATAAAAAAAAACTTAATACAGATTTCTCCAACTGGCACAGTCGAAAAAGAAACTTAATACAGATTTCTCCAACTGGCACAGTCGATTTTTGGGTCTAAGTCATGGTATCCTCACAAAGTTTCCTTTCGGACACGAGCTCGTCGAACATCTTTAGTTTAGGGTTGAGAACAGAGATATTATAGAGATTGGTATTTTTTCATAATGTATTGTCAACTATTATTGAGAATTCATACATCGTACAATTCTTTGACTTGTTTGAACGTAGCGAACGTTCAACACATGCGTGTCAAAAGTTTTCATGGCATTTAGAAATTCATAACGACACGAAGGCTTTGTTCGCTTAAGCACTTCAAAACAAAGGCATGCTTATGAAGTAATGTATAACACTATATTATGTAGTAATATGCTTACAGTATTACAAATTGCAAAACCTCTGTAGCTTATCGGATAGCATATATTAGGATCGATTTCTGGTGAGACATTGTGGTTGTCGGGGAAATGAAGTGCAGAAATGTCTGTCCGTATTATGTGATTATAAAAACTTTCTTAGAATTTCCAAGATTAAAAATGAAATTGTATTCGAGTTGTTAGTGAGTTAGTACTTGAAGATACCAATTTGTGTATTCCATTGTACTGCAATAACTTATTTGTAAAGTACCAAGACTTTGTTAATATAATAAATAATTGTATTCGCTACATTGTTATGCAGATTTAGTTATGTTCTTACGATTATTTCTTGGTGGTATTTTATTTAATTATCGTTATTTGTTTAATTTCAACTAATCCTCAATTTTATGCATTTATATTATTTATTTGAGAAGAGAAAATTATTAAATAAAAAGTAGGGCAACTCGCGGCATTATCGATTTCTAGCGATCTCTTCCAGGCAACCACTGTGAAGAAATAATAAGGTGATTGAGATATGTGCAAAACTCCTTAAGATAAACGATTACTTAGACAAAAATAATGGAACAAAACAAAGCAATTAAAACATATCGTAGACAAAAGGACACATGAATAATGATAAAGTTAGGGATACGGTGTAGACTGGTAATGATAGTAGAGTAGAGATTTAAAGGAAGATCGAGAAGGAGCTAAGCGGATAGGGACGGGAAGTGAATTCCATAGCCTCACTTCAGAGGCTTAGCTGAGACTTTAAAGGAATTAAGAGTTATGTGATGGAATATCAAGGATATAGTTTTCAGAAGAGCGTAGGTTATAGCTATGAGTGGGAGCTCATTTATCATTTAAAACATAGACTATTTTCATTTGCAAATATGTTTTTTATAACAGGCGTGGATTTTAGAGTTTTTAAGAACTTTTAACTAAAATTTAATATTAATTTAATATCAATTATTGTTAGATTTTAGTTTCATGAAAGCAGTATAGTTACTATACTCTCAAAAATGTCTCAGTACATAACACTATCGAATATTGAACATTTTATAAAATTCCGTTTGGAGATTTATACGTAAGTATTATGTAAGAATGTTGAATTGTGATAATCATAGATTCGTTTGATATATACCGTTTCATAAGGGCGTTTTTGCACTATGTGGAACCAGCTGCCCACTGAAGTATTTCTGAATTTCAATTCGACTGAGGGACCTTCAAGAGAGTACCAATTCTTAAAAGGCAGGCGACGCCCTCGCGAGCCCTCTGGCATTGAGTATCCATAAGCGGCGGTATCACTTACCATGAAGTGAGCATCCGTTTGGCGCCTGTTCTAAAAAAAATGCGTGCGTACAAAGTACATAATATGTACGAAGTGAAACTTCTTTGGCAAACTAATTTTTAAGTCTTGTTCATATTTATACAAATCTAAAACTTTAGATTTCCGAAAGGGAGGGAAAAAGGAAGATATGTTAGGAATTTAATGAATTTAATTGTCATTAAAATATGAAAAGTGTCGAAAATTAATACAAATTATATTTTTTTTTTCGATAATAAAAACACGTGGCATTTTAATGTACAATTCGTCATTTGAGATTTCTATAAATTATTTTGCATAAAATATAAAATTCTTATATTTCATAAACTCTCTTTACGAAATTTTAATTTTAAAAATAGATTTTTTTAGGTAATTCACCCTTCTCACTCTCTATCAATTGGTCTCAATCGCTGTCTTCCTTATCTTCGACAAAAACGCTGCACATCTTCGTGACGTTTTTAAAAAAAATACCCTCATGCGCCTAAAGAAGTTTCACTTCAATAAGTGTTTTTTATTTTAAAAATAATTTACTTCAAAGGCAGACGTCAAAGAGTCAAAGTAACACACAGTACAGTATAGTGCTTTTCATGAAAGAAGTCCCGCGGATATTTTTGGAACTAAATTTGACAGGTCGGCAATGTTGTCATTCGTCGATGTTATCAAGTTCGTTTGTTGTGGTAGATTTTTGTGAATTTTTAACTAT